TACCAATATCAATATAGAAAGGGTTTATTCTTAACTTGGTTAGAAAAACGAAAAGAAAAATCAATGCAACAAAATGAAATAGTAACTTATAATATGAGTGTTAAGGAAGATACAATTAATGATATTAAAATAGTTACTGCAGTATAGCACGAATTATTTACTGTATGTTTTATATAATCATGAAATTCATTTATTATTAAGAAAATTTTATATAGTAATAAAATTTTGGGACCGAATCCTAACCGGTCCTTGCAAGGATGGTAAGTACTCGGTCTTTAAATCACATGAAACACAATACATTTTATAGGACTTGAATTATTACAGCAATACAAAATTAATTTGATTGGATGGACTTATTTGATAGATTCAATTCAGGATCTGATACAGGGTCTAAATCCTATAAAATTATTGTATTTTCATGTGATTTAAGGATCGAGTCCAGGACTGTCTTTTTAGATCCTAAGATCAGACCGGACCGTATTCGCAATTTAACATCTCTATCTGCATATTTATAACAATCAGTTGGTTAATCATATTTTTTTTATTATCATATCAAGTAAGGTTAGAAATAAGTAAATGTTTATTACTATACTGGATTTAACTTCTAAGAGTCATGTTCTATTCAGACACCCCTAGCCAGGGTTGTGAATAGACAATAGACAAGCCGATAGACTCAATAGAGAGTCTAATGGTCGAATGGTGTCTAATTAAGTCATTAGACAATAGACAAATTATTATATAATTTAACCAAATATGATTGGTTAATTTTAGATATTATTATCTGGGCAGAACAATGTTGGCCAATGACCTTAAATGACCTATATGACCTTTATGACCTGTCATAGATCATTTGGCCATAACGAAGGTTGATAGACCTTTTAGTATAGTAAGAACTATAGTAAAAAATTTTTTTACTAATATTTGATATGACTGATATAACTTATGACCCAAAAGTCATATGATTATATGACTAAGGTCATATCGAAAAATTGTTATGACTTATGTCATCGGCCGACACTGGGGCAGAGTGCTACAGAAAAGAGAGAAATTGGCAAATTTTCAATTTTTTTTTTTACACAAATCAATTTCTGTAGCACCTAGCCCATATATTAAAAACAATTAGCTTAAAACCAATAGACATTAGACATTAGACTCATTAGACCAATAGAATTCCAATAGACCATTAGACAATTTTTTGATTAGGCTATGTCTATTCACATCCCTGCCCCTACAAATTCTATTATTGATTAATGGTTTAGCCATTTCAGAAATATATCCTTTTTGACACCAAATTCGTACACAGTGACTTTCAAATTTGTACAAAAAAACATAGTAATTTAAATTGTTTAAATCGTGATATCTCGTTATCTAATAATCTGATTTGGATAATTTTGGTACCATTCGAATAGACTTATCGAGAGGATTCGAATGATACCAAAATTACCCAAATCAGATTACTATCTCACGATTTAATCAATTTAAATTGCAATGTCCTTTTGTACGAATTTAGAGGGAGTTAGCCAGGACGGCCTCCAAAGTGCCAGTGACGTAATCATGGCGCAACTACAGTATATAATTGAACCTAGGTGCCGCACAAAAAATGCGCGGCATATCCTCGATTTTGATTGGCTAACGGTCGATGATCTTCAAATAATTGTTTACTAATTTCCATCCGGAATTGACTTTTAACAATTTTCACTTAATACGTAGGCGTCTGCGATTTCATTAGTAAAATTACGAGTAATTCCGGGCCAATTTTTTGATCGTCGCTCTTAGCCAATCAAAGTCGAGGATCAGTCAATAAAATAGAAAATTAGAAAACTGATCTTACGCCTCCACTGGCGCTTTGGCTAACTCGAATT